AAGGAAGGAAGGAAGGAAGGAAGGAAGGAAGGAAGGAAGGAAGGAAGGAAGGAAAACCCTTTTTCCTCATCTCACAATTCCAATAACTCTTTTTCATCTGGAAGTGAGAGATGCAGGCACTGTCCCTTAATTGCAGATGATCACTACACAATTTGAAGAAACTCCCAAGGTAGAAATAGAATATGGAGTTCATTAACTACTGATAAACAAATGAATGCATAAATAAGTGAAAGTAAGTGAGGAGTGGAACCAGCTGATGCAATGGCAATTTTCCTTCTGTATTATTTTGGCTGAGCCAGGTCATTTTTTCACATCAAGCAGAGCATCTGTCCAAAAAAGCATTTATCCAAAGCCAAGCAAGTGCCCACTAAGATCATGCACTGTAAAAATGACAATCGTAATAAATCCATTAACTGGATTTTCATGGTTATTTTTCCTGCCCTTTCATTACACTTCAGACCTGCCCTGTGAAATGATTACTACACCCTTCCTAACAATAGAGCCAGCTTTGAGCATTCATTATGACACAGCATGCTCATTTGAAAAGGTTTAGGCCAGTTTTCCCCATCTTGCTGCTTTCCAGATGTGTTGGACATCACCTCCCAGCACCTCCAAAGGTGGTGGGAAGCATATTCTGATGCATCTGGTGAGTACCAGTTTTGGGAAGACTAAATTATGCCTGGAGGACAGATATCCAGCTTTGTCCTCATGGAAAGCTAACCATTGCTCCTAGAGACTATTACAGAAAAAAGAGAGGGTATCTTCAGTTCTCAGAAAAATATTATATGTTACAGACTCTGCATGATGAATTATGGAAAACTCCATGAAGCATATGAGGCTTCAGTCCTCTGACTTATGGGATGACTCCAAGTTAAACAAGCAAACCGTTGTTTGCCTGATGGCCCTGGCTTGTAACTTGGTTCATCAGGGACCACCAGGTACCCATGTCCTTTCTTGACTACTAAGAACTGTTGACTTACCACTTGAATACTTCAGCTCCACGCAGTGCTCAATATTTTTAATGTTGTCTGGCTGGCGTGGCATCCAGGCATTGTAGTTGTAGGTGGATTCATCAGCCCACCTCCATCGCCTTTTCTGTTGAACAAAGACAGACCACAATCACGTGTTAAGAAGGCAAGCTACCTCTTAGGATGATAAGCTATACAGTTTGGCTGGAAGAGTTGAGAAATGAACAGCTCTTAGATAATGGCTATGATAAACAGAGTTGAAGAAGTCTCCCCAAGTGGTGAAGTGGCAAATTGTGTAGTGCACATGTGCAAATCAACAACAGCAATACTTAGTATCATATTCAATTCGTGACAGTGAGTATGGTGGAAATTTGATATATAGCTACGTACTAAGAATGGGCTCTATGAAATTTTGGACCGCAGAGCTGCATTTTGTTAAATATTTTGGGCTGTTACAACCACTCTTTTCCCACCATACGTGTTTACCTTAAAAGTGGAAATGGAAGGGCACTTGCAATGAACTTGTGTTATTATTGTCAGGATGAAGCGGTCCCTCCTTTTAAAAAAAGTGGGGGGGAAAATACCAAGCTCATCTATTTGGTTACAATTTAGAAGCCTCCTTGGTATCACAGTCAGTGATCCTGCAGTCACCTAGTCGGGATTTAGACTAGGTGAGGCCCTAAGCTATATAAAGCTTGGGGGCTTATTGTTAAAAAGTTGCACCAGAAGATCTCACTAAGGTACGTACCAAAACAGGAGCTTGAGTCACCTCCAAACAATTCAAAATATATATATGCCTTTTAATAATTTAATAGCAAGGTATTTAAAGTGAAAAATACAAATTATTTTCAAATGAATGCATTTATTGATTACTTATTTATCATTTGGCTGGTTTGATCTCTCTCCTAGATTATAATATAGTATACCCTGGAAACAATGTAATTTTTAAAATAATTTTGATACATTAATACGCATGTGCACACATGCACAAAATGCTGACAAAATAAGTAATCAGGATCATGTATTAATATAAGTAATAATGGACTCATTTGCAAAATCAGAAAACTGATCTCAGATACGACTTAAAACATTTTCTTTCTTGATTTCTCACTGCATGTAAAAATCGGCTACACAAGGTGGTAAAAACTACAGTACATATAAAAAGCCACATAACATTCTAATAGCCGAAAAGAAAAAAATCTGAAATTCTGTGAGGCCCTCCGGATTGTGAGGTCCTAAGCTGTAGCTTGTTTAGTTTATGCCTACAGCCAGCACAGAGTGCAGTTCTGAGCATCAACAGATGATTGCAGGTTCCTACCAATGTATTGTCCCCACAAGTGGCTCATCAAAAACAATGGAAGAGTGTGTGTAAAATGATTGAGTCAAGAGTGCAATGGCACAGCCCAGGAATAAAAAAATATTTGAAATGAAGAAAGTCAAGCTCACCCCGGAGATATCATTGAGCCCAATCCAGACATCGCTAAGTACTTTTTGTTGGTCTTTGATGTGTGTGGACATCAACATGGTCTCTCCTTTACTGAGGACAGAGGCGAGATGACATCCGCGGCCATAGGCCTGGCACTCAACCTAGGAACAGAGGTAGGGCAAGAAGATGGCAAGACATGCTCATTAGTGGGATTGTTGCAGACTCTAAACCTTGCACATCTGCATTTATGCATTTTTTGTTTCTCAAGAAAAGTTTCACCACATCTCAATTGGTGAAAAGGGGTTCTTACCTCTGCATCTTCCCAATTCAGTTTTCTATCAAAATATCCATAGCAGTTCCCCTGTTTCTGCAACCATTGCCTGGGGCATGACTCAGCCTTGGCTGCATGGAGACAAAAGGAGAAAAAATAGTGGGGAAATGGGACAGTTTCTAGATTTACCTCAATAGGAATCTTCAGTTAGGAGTAGACAGTGTGGGAGGGGTTAAGGGCTGCACCTCACCCTCACCCCCAGGGAGTGACAGGAGACCATCTGCTGAATTGGTGAAGTCATTGGAAGGGCAAGGACTTTTTCTGGATTGGGGGACAGAATTTTAAGATGGAGCAATAGGCCTCAGGGACACAAAATACTTCCACTCCCTCCTTTACAATCTTGAAAGTAGTCCAAACTCTATTTTCCAGGCCAACGTCAAAATATTCTGGGCAGGTTGGGAGAATATTAAGCCTTGTGTGAGACCTGTTTTTATCCAAAAGTCCTCCTAGTCCTACCCCCAGCCTTCAAACATTGCAAAAATGCAAAATGGTAAATCCCAAATGAATAAAACAATGGCATATTGGCATCATTGGGGAAGGCTGCAATGTCGGAGGGAGGGAATGGGAGAGACTTCTTGTTACTATTCCTACCCTTAATTTGGAAAATTAAATTAAAATTAAAATGTGGAATCCGACAAATCACACTGGTGAAATATGTTCATTTTGTTGCTGCGTCTCAGCGCTAGAGTTTCAGAAAGCTGGGGCAACACAGGATTCTGAGCACGAAACTCCAATCTGACCTGTATAAGAGGCATAAAAATATTTGAAGACAGAGCTTGTCTGTTATTTAATTTGCTATGCTTCCCGTATCAAGATTCGCTTTGGGGGCTTACCTCCCAAAAAAGGATTGGTGACCAAAATTCCAAGACAACAGAGGCAGAGATACGTGGAGAGTCCCATCTTCTGCTTGTCCTTTCAGGAGAAAAGAGAAGTGGATGTGACAGAAGAATTTATAGACCGGCATTCATATTAGCTTGCTGAGAAAGGAAGCAAATTGTTCAATCGTTTAACTTTTCTCCTGGTCTATCTGCAAATTTTTCTGTTGCAGTTCTTCCCATACAACTCATGAAAAGCTTTATTGCTACTTCAAGTCCTCTTCTTATTGCAACCCCATTTCGCTGTACGGATAGCAGACAGTATCTAACCAACACTTACAAAGAGTGCCTTCAACCTCTCACCTTGCAAAGTTCTTCAACTGGGTAGGTCAAACTGGTGGACAGTTGGACTGGCAATCTCCCACTTTCTGAGCAACCATTAAATACCCTCCAGGTAGGCCTGGCACAACACCAAGATGGGCAAAGTTCTTCAAGGATTTCCCGGTCCACCCTCTTCTTTTTCCCATAAATGAGAGGAAAGCAAGTGAAATACAGCTCCAAAGATAATTGGCTATCATTTCCTTAGGTAAAGAAAAGAGTTATCAAAAAATCAGTACATTGATTCTACATGTTAGGGGGACGCAAACACACACATCATCCATCATGATGGTATTTACTTGATTTCTTCATTCTGTTGGTTTTGAGTGCCATGATTCCTTGCCAATGTTCTGTTAAATATTAACATAGCTGAAGACGACAGCTTCTTGCAGATGCATCAGTCCTTCCCTCCTATTTGCCATGAGGAAAAGAAACCACGCTTGCATTGCTGTCGGGTACCTGAGTTTGGCATAGCACTCAAGTCAATCTAATTGCTTGCTACATCAATTAAGTGAAGCAGTTTTAATTGCCTGAATTATCCTTCTTTTACCAAAGGCAATCTGGCTTCCTAATTCAGTGAACAATACCGGTGGTGGCTAGGCACATGTATATGTGTAAAGCATGTTCTTTAAATGCTAAAGCTGACCTGTTATTACATGCCTTTGTCTGGCACGTGTCTCTTTGTTAGTGTCACTTTCTTATGTGTGTACCCATAAATCTATTCAGTCCCATTCTTTCATGAATCCTTGATTAAATAGTATACATATCTAGATAGATGAGAGACAGAGAGACAGAGAGGGATGAAGAGGAAGAGGAAGAGGAAGAGGAAGAAGGAGAAGGAGAAGGAGAAGGAGAAAGAGAAGGAGAATCGCCACTATGTTGGACTCCAAATGAGAACATCCATCCTCAACCATGGAAATGCACTGGGTGACTTGGGGCCAGTCACTCTCTCAGCCCAACCCATTTTACAAGGTTGTGTGCAACATCATACTTTGGCATGACAATGTATCATTGCTTTTGCCACTTTGATGAAAGCATGGAAACCTGCAGATACATCTCCTTGTCATAGATAAGTCTAAGTAGGAGACCCAGAGGGATACAAGCAATGTGTATTACCAAAGCCTGGCCCAATCAAGGTTCTCAGCTAAGACAAGATGAACTTGGGGTTTTCTAACCTCTTGAATAATATTGTCTCATAAATAGACTACTGGAATGAACTCTACATTGGGCTGCCCTTGAAGACTACCTAGAAGATTTGGCTGGTCCAGAAGGCAGTGGCTTAGGCAGTAACTGTCACGTGCCCATGTGTCAGTGCTGCTCCATAAGCTGCACTGATTGCCAGCTGGCTTCCAAGCTGGCTTCCAACCATCCAAGGTGCTGGTTGTCACTTTTATAGCCCTGCATGCCTAGACCCTGGCTATATGAGAGACTGCCTGTCTCTGCTAGTTTCTGCCCACCCAGTGAGATTGGGCAGAAGGTGTACTCTCAGGTCCCTTTGATTAGGCAATGCCATCTCTCAGGATCTAGGAGGTATGTCTTCTATGTCCTGGCACCTGCTCTCTGGAACATCATCCCTCCAGAGATCCAGATGGCTGATGCATTCCAAAAGTTTCTGAAGACCTGGCTGTTCTCCCAGCCCAAGCCTTGAGTCTCTGCCAGTGGTTTTTGTTACCTTGTATGTTTTCCAGATGTTTTTTTCCTAGTTTTATGGCCCCAAAACATGTGATCCAAGTATGAAAGGGCAGAACTCATACTGTGATTTCTGAAAGTACATTTTATCATTTCGGCATCACTGTGGCTAGGAGAAGCTATATAAGGACTGTGAGATTGGTTGCTAGTCGATGTAAACCAGTTTTAATTATGCTTCCTTTTCTTTTTCTTATCTTATACCCTTAATTTCTTTGTCATACAATTTCTTACTCCTTTTCAGCACTTTCTATAATGTTCCTTACCCAGAATGGAATAAGATGATGGGTATATATCCTTGTGCTTGCTATATGTCCTCTCACTGAATTATTTTTACTGCACTGATTTACATTAACTGGTTCTGTAACTGAGGGCTATGCACACTTCAAAAAAAATTTTTTTTAGGTTCCCCTTATTAAAATTAACCTGATTGTTACAGCCATAGCACAGAGGTCCCAAAACTTTCTCAGTTCATGGTGCCCTTGGCGTCTCCATAATGTAGGGCAGAACTGCTACTCCCTTGAGTTAATAGCTTGTGCAACATCTGACAGATGTCAAGGATCACCACATTTCCCTTGACAATTCAAATATCACCTGGCACCCTTGTGAGTTTGCTATGGCACCCCAGTACACAGTTTTGGAACTGCATTTATATCACCCTTTTTCAACCAGAGAAAAGCTGGAGCCCTTTAACAAAGAGAGGAGGGATACATTGTTTGTATTCCCACAATTATTTTCAAAGCAGGCAGTGGACTGTACTGGCAATCACATTTTTTTTTAATTTTTGTACATTAAGTATATATGCACAGAGGGTGTAAATTTCCAAGGGGCATTCAAGCTTTAAAGCAGAACACCCTGTTTCCAAAGAAACACTTAACTCCTCCATGGGAAGAAACCAGGCAGTTGCCTATAATTAAATGAAGAGGGGGGGAGTGTTAAAAAAAACTCTTAAAAATGTAAGGTTATAGGAGTCTCCATCTAGTTGGTGTGCATCATCCAAACCCAGAAGGGAAGATTTAATAGAGGGTTAAATGGGCTATTGGGTATCCTACAGGAGATTAAGGGGGTTCAGAGTCTTCCAGAAAAGGGAAGACCTTTAGGTCATTTATGGCCTGGCTGATGTTCTTGTGTGACTCCTGATACATCCCCATTAGGCAATATGCTTTTGTAATTCCTGGTGCAAAATTTCAGCAAATCCTACTTCTAGCACTTTAGCTTTCTAAATTGCAAGGATTAGGAAGGGAAAGAGGAAGCTAAATGAACTATCTAATATTTATTTAACTATCTAATATTTAACAGACTTGAATGAATGTGATCTAAATGTTCAGACGTCTTTGGCAATTTTGCACACCTACTGTATTTTTCTGTTCCAAGGCTCACTTGAGGACAAAATGTTCCAAGGCTCACTTGAGGACATAATGCATTGGGTCTGTGAATGTACTATATGAAATTTTCCTGAACACTATCTCTTCAACTTGAAGGAAAAAAAATCAGACATTGCTAGCAAAAGTGCCTGAAACTTTGAGCAGTTTTGTGTGCTAGAGCTTAAGTTCTCTTTTCCTGCACCTGGAGGATCTATCTGGCCACCGCTTTTGTGTAATGCACCCATTAAAGTTAGAAACTACAGTATTTCTATCCTGCCTTCTTTTTTCCTCAAGTTCAGCAGTGCCCTCAGGGGGAGTCAAAACAGGCAAGATGGCAGTCACCCAAAAGGACACATGTACAAGTGGGTGGAGCTTTGATCACAATGCTGCAACTGCCCTCTTATCCATCTTCAACTTGATCACAGAAGCTGCTTCTCTAACGTCACCCATTTTCTCTTTGAACCTGCCCACTTTCACCTGGCCCACACACTTTCTGAACAAAGAGGCTCAACTGAAGGGGCTGCGGAGTCCTAAAGAGTTGCCCTTCCTTTTTCAAGAATGAGGCCGATACACCTAGAATTATATATGCACTAGAATGAGTTTATTCACATGACACTGTGATTGATAAGAGTCAAGAGAAGATGGAGAACTCCAAGTCATCTCTTCTGGGGTAGGATTTTTAAGGGGGATAGATGAGAGCTGGTCTTCCATTCTGTGGTGTGGAGGGTGGTAATGAATGGCATGAAAAAGGCATCCACAAAGTAACTTGGTTTATCTTCCTCTGATTGAATGGCATCCCCGCAAGCAGAGGCTAAAGCTGATGCTTGCAGATGTAAGCGTTGCGTGTCTGGCAATGGACATCATTCCACTCTCTAAAACCTAAAACACCAAAGACATGACAAAATGTCTGTTATTTCCGCTCTAATCATTCATTTTTCAAGATGAAGCTTCTAGTTCTTCTGATAAAAAGCAATCTAGGATTCAGGATTAAGGGGAATTTAAAAAAAAGAGAGAGAGAGATGAAATCCACCTGTGGTGTTTTGGTTTCACACTTCCCATGCCTCCTTTATATCTGGAGTGATAGACACCTGTGGCAGTGGGACCGCAAGTCCTCAAACTGATCTTTAGGGGGCCTTGAGCACATTTGGAATATTTGCCTGTCAGAAGTAGAACCTCCTTCCTTGATCATGCACTGGGTTGCCTGAGATGTCTTCTGCAAAATGTATGTCCAACTCATGTACTCAAAGGCAGGATAGTGTCAGGTTCAGCCCAGAGAACTCCACGAGACACTACAGGTCTAGTTCGATGGCTTTTATTAGCTTCCAACCACAAGACAGAATCCTGCCAGATTGAATCTAAACTTCTCAAGCCAGCAAGAAAACACCGTGAATTCCTTAGGGTGATGCCAGTCTCATCTTCTTAACCTTCCCACGCTCCAGCTGGGGGCTAAGGAAATGTTTATCTCCCCGAGCATGGCCTTCATCAAACCATTCCATCACAGATAGTTATTTCTGGCAATGAGGCAGAAAATGCCCACTGATATCATGCATTACCAAAATACAGTCATGATGATCAATTAAACAACTATATGCCACCTTTTCAAGTCACTCCAAACCTGTTGCCAGAGGAGACCCTGCATCCTAGCTAACAAATACAGTGAGCCCTGCACCTTTCCTATCTCCGGTTGCTAGCACAGGTTGATTATGTATGTCCACCCAACATCCCCAGTGAGGATGGGAACTGTTGTACTGCACATCGGAAGGCATCCAGTTGGGAAGGTGGGCTGACACCCATGTCTCAAGTCGCAACTTTGCTTTTGTAAAGTTGACAATTTTCCTGTAAGAACTTGGCAGGAGGAAAGGAAAAGACCTTTTTGGATTGAAACTGGCAGCAACAATATTCAGAAAAAAAAAATGAAGGAAGGAAACTATCTTACAAACATAAGTGGTTGTTGTCTAACTTGTCAGGTGTCTCCAAGCTAAGCAAGTGGCATCCTGTTTGTTAAACTGATCGGGTCAAAACCAAGCTTCTCAACTTGGGTGAGACTCACGATAGGCTTAACCAATAGGAAATTCAGTGAGTAGCCTGGATGTTCAGGTTTCCATTTCCTTCTTGGCCATGAGGATAACAGACCTACCTTTAGAATGAACCAGCTCCACACAGTGTTCAGCTTTGCCAGTATTGTCTGGCTGATTTTTCATCCAGGCCTTATAGTTGTAAGTTGATTCATCAGTCCACCTCCATTTCCCGTTCTGTTGAACAAAGATAGAGCAGATGGCATTGGCAAGGAAGTAAACAGCCCCTTGGATTCCATTGATTACGATAATGCAAGCTACAAAGATTAGCTATAAAGAGTGGTTGATCAGTAAGCCATGATTAGATGGTGGCTATGATGAACAGAATAGACAATGGTCTCCCCAACTGCTGTAGTGGTGAACTTTGAAATGCCCAATGCATCTTCCAAAGAATCATTAGCCTTAAGTGCCAGCATGAAGGAGCCATCCCATCAGAAGAAAGGAAAGAAACCTTCGAGTTCTGCTCAAATATTTTCCCCTTATTCCCAGACTTGCTCAATGCCACTCAGTCACAGCCATTGCGAACTTGAAAATTTCATTCTTACCACAGTGATCATCTGCTAAGATACATTATATCTGTCCCTCTATGTTTTTTTTCTATTCCACACCACTGGGTGGCTTATAGAAAACTACAACTTAATTTGAGAAATTAAATTGGGTTTAGCCAGGGAAATGATTGACACAAGGATGGAACGGCACAGCCAGAAACTATTCAAAAGGGAGGAAGAGTGGCTCACCTGGCGGACATCATGAAGGCCAATCCAGACATTGCTTAGGCTTCGTTGGTAAGTGGAGATATGCTCAGCCACCAAGAAAGTCTCGGCTTTGGTGAGTATGGAGGCGAGATGAGCTCCACGGCCATAGCTCTGGCACTCAGTCTTAGAGTTTAGGGGAAGAGAAAAGAAGTTAGTCCTCTTCATAATATTTTATATGCAGCATTGGGATGTAGCAGAAGCCTACCCAATCTATATTTAACTTGGTGCTATTTTAAATAACTTTTTAAAAATATACTGTATATATTTAAAAATACCTACACTGAAGAATATGTGTGAGTGGATTGTACAATACTGTCACTGCATAATCAGTTTGTCAGATTATTCTTAATTCTTATCCCTGAAGCCATCAAGTCTAACTTTCTGCCCAGAGCAAGAATGAACAGTAACACCCCCAAAAGACGGCTGTCAATCTGGAACTCTCAATGAAGGAGAATCCATCACTTTCTAGGTCTGGGTCATGGGGTCCCATGCCTAACTACTCTGTTAGGAAGATTTTCCTAAAACTGAATTGCAATCTACCTTCAAATCCACTTCTACTGTGAAATGGTAGAGGACAGGTCTTAGCATCTTCTGTGCAATATCCTGTCAGGTACTGTATTTGAAGAATTCTGCACTCTAGTCTTCTTGTTTAAAGGCTAAATATGCTATATCCTTCAATATAGAATATTTAGCCTTTAAATTAGCCTCCGTAAGATTAAGTTTGTAGTCCACTGATGATCCTCATTGCATTTCTCTGAATCCATTCTAGTCTGTCAAAAGCCTTCTTAAAACATGGTGCTCAGAAGAGGAGCCTAGTCATCAATATAGGATTTGATTAAAGTGGAATCAAATGGTACAATAACTTTTTATTATTTGGAAACAATGCTTCTGTTGATACAACCTAGAATAACATTACCTTTTTTTCCAACCACATTCAACTGATTATATTCTGTTTGCAATCAGCTATTCCAAGACTTTTTCACCAATACAGTTATCAAGGCAGGTATTCTGAGCCTATATATGTATATTTTGTTTCCTAAGGGAAAAACTTTGCAAACTCTCTGTTAAATTACATTCTGCTACTTCCATCCCATTTCATCAAGATCATTCTGAATTTCATTTGTGCCTTCTAGGATATTATTAGCTTTCCCAACTGCTAATAGGTCATCTGCACATTTGTTAAGGTTTCCCACCACCTCTTCATTGAAACCATAAATCAAGATAGACTATTCAATATTTCTTAACCTAGAGGACATATGCATGTTTACTCAGAGGCTATTCCCTTTGTACAGGATGAGGCTATTCACAAGTAAATCTAAACAATTCCCCTGCCTTTTTGATGCCATTGTTAGCTTTCTTACCAAGTCTTAATGCTGAAAAATGTACCAGTGAAGGTAGAATTCATACAAGGTAATGGAAGCTTAGAGGATTTATTCGTGAGATTATAATTCCTCACGTCAACCAGGAACTGCCACAGGGGGATAAAAAATCATAAGAGGCAGCCCCAATCATACAATCAAAGCCTTGTTCTTTTTCACATGTGTCACACACAATGCACATAAAAAAGGGACAGAGTTTGATCTCATGCTTACAGCCACCTTCTTAACATTTTTGCCCCCTTCCCATGGACAGCCCTATTGCCTGGTAAAAGGAAGTGTGGCCAAGCATTCTTGTTGGAAGGTGGGGTGCTGGAGGGAGAGCAACCAAGCTATGTTTTCCCAGTCCCCTTCTGCTCAGCCTCTTTTCATAACATCATGTCCTTATCATCTCCACCCACCCAGAAAACTGGAAGGGCACTCTAAATTTCTTCCGCTAACCCAATTAAAGGCATGTGGGGGCCACACTGAAATCTTGGGGACACACTAGTGGCTCATGGGTCACATCATTCACCAATGATGTACATGATCTGAATTTGAGTTCTTTGCTCTTCCCTAGTGAGTGAAAGGGAAGAAAACACACCTAAACCTCAATGCTTTTATTATACATCATGTACATCTGGATTGAGGAGATGTTTCTTACCTCAGCTTCTTGCCAGGTCAGTTTATTATCAAAGTATGCATAACAGTTACCCTGGTTTTGCAGCCATTCCCTGGCACAGGTGTCAGCCTCAGCTGCACAAAGAAAAAAGGATAAATGGAGAGAAAGTGGACATTTAACGGCTACTTCTTACTGGCCTCTCTCAAAGAAAGAAAATTCTCTTTGACCTATACAGAGAGTGTGGAAATGTTTGTAGACTACTATTACTCATCCAATTTATTTGCTGTGAACACAAAGTTCGTTTGGCTTCAGAGACTCACCTTCCAAGAAAGAATTGGCAATCAGGAGTCCAAGGAAGCAAAGGCTGAAATAAGTGAAGAGTCCCATCTTCTAGTTGACCTTCAAGGAGGAAACACCCATAAGTTCAAGAGGTACATTCATCTGATATTGTGTTGCAGAAGAAGGAAAACTACAAGTGAGGTGAACTCTGTGCTGCATTTGATTGGAACAGATAAGGAAAAATTCACAGAAATTTGTTTTCTACTGCTACCAATTTAGCAAACTAGGTCTGTTGCAAATGTAAGCTCACAGATTAGATAGCAGGAAACAGGATTTGTCATAATATTCCCACCCAGAAAATATGACTTTTCTGGCCATTGATCATAATAAAGGATTTGAGAGTTATTTGATCACTATGCGATCCATCTGTTTCACACAATACAATGTCAGGTGTATACTGAAATTATGTTAGGTGTGTAAACAAGCCCACAATTTCATACTTGTTATCCAACTCACCAGTTATGGTGGTCAGATTTCAAACCTGCAGAAAAAGGTCACTAAATTCCCACTCGCTGCAGCTGATTTGGGAATCTCTGCATCTATTGGAATTTTTATTAATTCTAGTCCAGCTTGACAAATCTCAAAAGCTAAGGAGTGTCAGAATGAGTCAGTACTTTTTATGGGAGACCATTAGGGAAAGCCCAGTGCTGTAAGCTACTTTTCAAATCTGGATAAAAGGAAAATCCCCTCCCCAAAATCAATAGTAACCATTTCCAAGTTGTTATCAAAATAACACACTAATTAAATTAAGTATGATTCAGTGGTGACTTTATCCATCCTAATATATATTTTTGATTAAGGTAATCAAAAACCTGCTTAGAAATGCCTTTCTCTTTAAGGTTTCCTGCTCTGCTATTCTTAATGTCCTAATGTCTTCAGCACCCTCAACAGCCTGCAAAAGCCCTCTTCACAAAAGCCGTATGGATCATCTCTTCAGCGACTCACCTTACGGTGGTCTTCTCCTGGAGGGACGGACAGAAGTGGTGGACAACTGGGCTGGATGTCTCTTGGATGCTCTCTTGCTTTCTGGGGGGCTATTATATAGACCCCAGGCAAACCTGGTGCAACACTAACATGACCTCAGTCCTTTCAGGAAGTTCTGGTCCCCTTTCTTCAGTTTTGCATACTCAAGGTTAAGATGAAACAGGTAGAAAGCTACCTGTTCCGGTCCCCTTCAACGGGGCAGAAAGGGCAATCTGCAGCCCTTGACTGCAATGGGAGAATTATTGCAGAAAATATAACCCTTGACAATGTCCCAGTTAGAAGGAAATTAGCAGTAATCATCGGCAAACCTTTACAAATGTGTTTCCCTCATTCCATTCACTTTAAATTTCAGATAGCTGTTTGATTGCTATCTGCTTTTCCATTCAAAAATCACTTTTTCTTTATAGTAAAGTTAGCACATGGGGCAAAATAATTCAGTTCTTTAATTTTATTTTAACTTTCTGGTAATTGTTTTAGTCTTTGCCAGTATTTTTTAAATATGATTGCTTCCTTTATCTGTTTGTGTGTGATTTTCTGGTTTAATTTATATCAATTGATAGTTTTTAGGTGATGCTTCTGACATGGTTTATATGAAGTTTGGATATTCACTTGTGGTTTTTTTAATTGCATTTTGCCTCAAGGGTTATTAGCTACAAGGCAACTACTTTCAGCTTAGAAACGAATAAATAATCCACTTTTTCCATTGATTTAATTCATGTTAGCTTTATTCTCTGTGGTTTCAGATTGTTTTTAGGCAGAGTTTCTATATTTACTTGTATATTTATTGTTCACTATTCTTAGAAATCTGTCCCATCAGACAACTACTAAATCAATCAATAATAATCAATGAAAAGATCATAGTAAATGACAATTCTACATATGCCATTTATCTGAAAAGTAGAAGTGAAACCCCAGTTTAAGGGTTGATTGTCCTCAACAGAAACCCCAAATCATTTAAAATATTGCAAAGTGAAATAACCCAAATAATAAATGTTGATGAATGCATTTGCAGTTAAAATTATACTTATAATGTATTATAATCTTGGAGGCATCAGCTCACAGAGACCACATCTGGAAAAGATCAGGGGGGTCTGTTATTAAGCATCTCCTCCCTCTTATCTTCAAGCAGTGATGGTGGAAAATTGGAAATGCTTGAAAAAACAAATATGTTAAAATGTTGGAGGGAATATCTCAAAGAGTCTTAATGCCCTTACCTTTTATGCTATCCCTTTTTTTGAAGAAAGAAATTTAAGGGTAGGGGGGATGCATGAATCAAGTATAGCCATGGGGGATGAGTTGAACAGGCTTCATTAAAAGTACTTCTAGTTTTTTCCTCCGGTGACGTAAATGCCCTTAGTCTGAAGGGGGAGCAATTTTGCAAGGCCAAAAACCAAAAAAATTAGGGCAATCCCAAACCCCAAACAAACCTGGAGGTGCATGTGAGAGTTTTTCCTCCTTGAAATAAAATCTGAATCTGCAGTTGCAAAGAATGGGAAGGCACCTATTTTAATATCACACTCTGATGACATTTTGACAATGGTCTTTGCTGCTTGGGGCAGCTTACAAAGGATTTCAGAGCATTTTCCCTCCTGGACAAAAGATTGAGACAGACTGGTTGCAGAACAGCCACGTCAAATGTCCGCTGGTTGGTACATTAGTGCACAAAAGAACTGGAACATTTCCTCCTCCTCCTCCTCCTCCTCCTCCTCTCCAAAAAAAATCAAACCTCAATCTATCTATCATCTATCTATCTATCTATCTATCTATCTATCTATCTATCTATCTATCT